GATAAAATGGGTATGGGCGGATAGAGGAGATCCTCCAGATCAAGAATATATATAGATATAGCCGCGGGAAACTTATAGTTTTCGAGATATTTGGGTTTAAAGTTCAAAATTTCGACTATTTAAAGTACGCATTTTTCCCATTTCGAATGAGTTATACACTTATATTTTCCACTTTTATATCCACTAACACTTCACTAATTCGTTTGTACACATTTATTTTACATTATATAGTGCAAAAATAGTTTAATTCAATAATTAAATTATTGTTAATTCTATTATATTCTGACAATAACAAAGGGTTGCAAAATTTCAAATAACCAGTGTTACCTTATCGACATCTTTTGTAATTGAACTGAAAGAAATTAAAACAGATAATACCCCAAATACAGGTATCAAAACCTAGAGAATAAACTATTACAAAGCATTGATGTTAAGTATTATGCTATACCCTCTATGACAATATTACTTTTCTTGTAGAACTTTTGCGTTGGCGGCCTTCGCGCGCTTCAAAAAATAACCCTGGTCGGTCCAACACCGGGGTGTATCAAGGTTTTTTGCGCAGAACTCCTTTTGCGTTGGCGCCTTCGGCCGCGCTTCAAAAATAACCTGGTCGATCCAACAACGGGGTGTATCAAAGTTTTTGCGCAGAACTTATTTTGCGTTAGTGGCCTTCGGCCGCGCTTCAAAAAATAACTCTGGTCGATCCAACACCGGAGTGTACCAAAGTTTTACGCGCAGAAATTCTTTTGCGTTGTTTCCGTATCTAGGATACAATCTCTCTGTTAATTTTATTTTCTTCGTTTGCAAATGTATTAGTATGGCAACACTGATGTTTTGACATTCACAACCATTTGTTATTGTCAAAATTAATAAAATTAAAGAATGATTTAAATATTGAAATAAAGCTATTTCTGCAGCATCTAATATAAAAATTTCTAAAAACGAATTAGTCAAGTGTTAGTGGATATAAAAGTGAAAAATATAAGTGTATAATTCATTTAACTCCAAAAATACGTACTTTAAATAGTTCAAATTTTCAACTTTAACGTAAATATCTCGAAAACTATAAGTTCCCGCGGCTATATCTATATATATTCTTGATCTGGAGGATCTCCTCTATCCGCCCATACCCGTTTTATCCCCGAAAGCGTGGGACGTTATTCTAAAGCCGACCCGTGCCTACTTGTGTTTTAAAGATGGATTTTTTCTTGAATTATTTTTTATCTTCTAATACACAGTTGTAGTCTTAGCTGGGGGTCAACAAAATTTCAAGTACGTTCGGCAACTAACACAATTAATTTTACATATATTCCATTACTCAATTCTGCGAATTAACAGCATTCTAGACGTATTTGTTTTACATTTAATCATATTTTATTTGTTTAATACTTGTGCGTTTTCGTGCAACATTAATTCACTTCATTGCTTTGATTGTTTACTAAACCACCAATTAGGGGAAAAATCAATTTGCATATGTATTGTTAGCATCGACAAAGCAAACAATAACGAAAAACACTATTTTAAACAGGCTAAACCATTTTCTTCAAATTTTGATCACAGAGATTCATTCACATATATTTCATTTGAATATTTATGATTAACCTTTTGTCTTAAACCATTCTTTTTATTTCCAATAAATAGTAGTTTACACAAGAAACTTTCACATCCGCGCCGCGGAATACACCCACATTACTCTCCTAAATTGGAAAAACGTCTTCCCCAACCGAAGCAAGAACTCCACTGAAAACGAAAATGTTCACTTTCCACAAATTGCCCATTTCCCATTCTTATTTCGAAATTCATTATCCACAGAGTGTTGCCAGTTTTGTTTTGCCTCGAAACTATTCAAACAACACTGACTTAAGTTATAAAAATTATATATTTTGTAAAGTTACGCACACCCATAAAAATAATATTTGCAAACAATTTAGTGCATTTGGTTTAAATAAAGAAGCAATTAGTATGTGCAATAAAACATAAAATTTTGTACTTGATCTGGTAAGCCTACTCTTTGAGCAGAGAACGTAATTATTATTATTGTTATAATTTACGTTATCTGGTGATAGTGTTGGTAAATGGTGCCAGGGAATCAAAATTAGTGTTGCCAGACAATCTTTTTGTTAACCAATCGGGTTTCTTTCTCAATAAATGTAATTGAATATTAACGAGGAAGTTTGGCTTAATTCAATGAAACAGGGCTAGTTATATGCTTTTTTTATGAAAAGTTAAAATCTATTTTCAGACACCAATCTTACATTGTAGTATGACATTCAGAATATTGTTAAATTTTCATGTAGAAATATTAAAAAATACGGCATTTGCAACAATCACGTTGGAGAGTCTCGGATAAAAGATAACGGTAGGAGGTTTTCGAAATTTCAATTTTCATTTATCCACTTCTTATGCAAAGACTTTATGAGTTGCACGGTGTGTATGTGTTAATTCCGACTAATTATTCAATGGCCATAAACCGGCTGTGCGCTTTCCTGTTTCGCAAGTGATCAAACAACCTCTGCAACCTTTGAATATTTATGACAGTTTTTTGTTTACTGAAAGTGGCAACTACAAATACCGTTATCTTAAATTTACATACATAAATCGCAGTTTATTGATTAAGTCATTTTTATTAAAAGTTATTATATGAATAGAAGCATTTATATTCAATCCGTTTATCCATTATCGTCGACTCTTCGACAATTTCTTCCAGAGTTTCACAAACATTTCGCATTCTTTTTTTTGTCGGCTGCTTGCCATTGAACTGGAAGGGCCATTCGCCATTTGTGCAGTATTTTATCGCAACGCATTTCTTAAAAGAGGATGTTTCCAATTTATTATCATTTGCTAATTGTTTTGCTCTTATGGAGCGCATTCCTTTAGAAGTTGTTGGTCTTGTGATTCTTTAAACCGTTTAGGTTTGAGAATACCACTTTTCTCCGACTCTGTAGATTTCACTACAGACTTTTGCTTTAAGTAAAAGAGCGTTAGCTTGTTGCAGCATAGCAAAATTAGCGCTGCCGTCGTCGAGGCACCTTTTCCACAATTTGGCCCTGCATATTACCTGCCCGCCCTGCTTGCAGTTGCATTGACCATTCGAAGGCCCGATCTCGCTGAATCTTCACAAAAGGATTATATATAGTGTCGCTGCATCTCATCCATTACGCATTAGTATTCCCCCGTCATTCCGTCGGGTTGCGGCTCCGCTTTGCTCACAAGAACAGTTACTGCCTCTGGACATGCAAAATAATCTAGCTAAGTAAAGTGCTATGGGTTTAGGGGCAATACCAGCCATATCAAAATCAATAAAGCACTCCACGACACATTCTGCAAATAGTGAAAATAACTCAGTCAGAAGAACAAATAAATACCGCTAAAGAATGTACCTGTAATGTGTATTTGCATCACAGTCCCTTGTCGTCTGTTCAGCTGACCTAGCCGAGACCTTGCGACACAAGCCAACTTTATTAACCACCTATCTGCTGCCATGTCTAACATAACCGTCCAGTTCTTTGGCGTACACTTTTCTTCAAGTCCGCCATTATTTCACTCAACTCATGGGGCTTTACTGTTTTGAATGTTGTTTTTCGATCGATTTGTTTTGCTACCTCGTCATACCATATTTAGTCATTCACCTGTAATTTGGCAAATTATCTGAAGACTCCACAACCGTATTGCAATACTAGTTAAACGCGTGCCTTATAAAGATTACACTCTTCTCGTTTCGTCTATTCTGCGCGTCTTAAAGCTTTCCAAATTGCATTGCGGCAGTGTCTTCAATTGATTATCGACATATCGCTGTTGACGTACTTTTGCATTTGTGTATAAACCTCAATTAAGTGTTTCGGATCCGTTCTATTCTTAATATCTCACATGTTTCTGAGATCGAGGTTTTGATGTTCTCGCGCTTTGTTTGAAATTTATTGTGTACTTTGTAGTTCGTGCACTTGCACTTCTTCAGTAGCGCTCTTATTTGGAAAATTTAACTAATTTTCTATCGACATGATCGGAGGATTTTCTTAAATGTGGTTTGGTCTAAGCAATTGTCTTCAATATTTCCAGGCGTTCGTGTTTATGTGTGTCGTTCTTGTACAAACACCGTTATAACGGCCAGCACCATGCACAAAGTGCCACAGAAATGGATACAACACGAGTAGCAGAAATAGGAACATCAAAAGCCGCACTTAAAATGTGATAGAAACACATAACAATAACGTTATAAAGTATCTCATAGCTACAGGTACTTACAATTGGAAAAGACAGGATCATTTCCTTGATTGCAGCATCTAGCTTCACTTCTATACGTTTTCCACAACATCTTAACAGCAAACGCAATTATTAGCACAGCTGTTATCTGGAGAGGCAAAGAAAGATTTAAATCACACTTTCAAAAACGGTTTTCACGCCGTAAGTGATGATAATCAATAGGTTGGTTCATAAGGGATTTTCAAAAATTCCTCAACGACAATGTTTAGTTACAAAGAACGTACAGAGGATCTTAAATTCGTGAACTAAAATCAGTTTTAGCTTTGGCTCTAAGCTGATTCCGAAATAGTTTGAATTTTCACTGTTTCAGATACTAATAGAAGAAATACCAAATTTAAGCTGTATCTGAAAGTATGGTTTATATTAAAGCCTCGATTTACACAGAAAATCACACAAAACAACACTACATAAAATCGTGAATTCACCACAGTTCATCAAGGCACCATTTGAATTTGTGTACTCACCAATAGAAGAAAGTGTATAGCATATGATGTCCAGTACATAAATCGA